TGAATGAATAGTGGCATTGTAAAGTGCTTTGGGTGCCTTGAAGAAGCGCTATATAAATCCAATCCATTATTATTATTAATCTATTATTATTTTAAGTGTCTTCATAATTTCTGAGATAAGCTCATTTTTAAAAACTGCAGCAAAAACAAAAATAAATATTATTGTGCACAATTTGCAAAATGCAGCATGTGCATCAAAATAAACTATTTTCAACAGGTCAAAGTTCGAAGTGTTCCTGGAATTATACAGAAACTGTATAGTTCTTTCAGTAGCACCAGTGGGCATTTAAAAGGCCCCGAGGGGGAAAATAAACTACATTTCCTGCAAAAATGATGTAAAATTTGGGTTTTGCAAATAATGGCTGACATGTGATCGTTTGTTCTGATAACACGATGAAGTTTATTTCAACATAGGAAGTGCCACGAACAGATCGGCAAACCGTGTTTCTAGATTATAGTGTTTTTGTTGTTGCGTGCACTTTTTACGCAATTTTTGGAAATCCATTAGTGAAAGGAAACCATGACCTGGGACAAGTTAAATGCTTGAAGAACAACGAGACCCACAGCAAGCCATGATAGCAGTCAGAAAAGCCTTTGACAACAGCAGACTCACACATAAAGTAAGGCAGCTTGTTGTATAGAACTGTAAAGCTTGAGGTGCTTGCAGATAATGCACATATAAAGTATGTATGATAGTGCATTATTATGTGCTATCATACAGGCGTGGAACAAACAAAATATGAATCCAGGGCCTTTAGCACACAAAGTAAAGTGCATGCACATCACCCAACGGGCCTGTGAAAGCAGTGAAACATCTCACCCGTCCCAATTTCATATGGAAAATGCACCACTGATGGCAGAAGGACAGATGTCAGTCTAATCCTGACTGAAAAAAGCCAGATCATGCATCAGTGACAACAGGCACATCTTTTCAGATCAGATCTTTGTTCATTTCTCACCTGCAATCCAAACTCTATTAATAGTATTTCCCTTCACATGTCTAGTGTTGGCTCCACTCGACGCACAACATGTTTGTGTAGGTGGTGCACACACAGAGAGAGAGCTGTCAAAGGAAAAGCTGCCATGCTTTTTTATTTTACAAAGTTCAGCACCAAACAAATTTCACATCATTGCTTTTAAAAAAAAGATTAATGTATATCTTGACCTGCTTGCATTACATTGTTAAAATAATACTAAAATATGGGCTTAATGCCATCTGGGATGTGAACCCGAGACCTCGCACACCCAAAGCAAGAAGCAGACCCCTAGACCAACGAGCCTCTAGCAGCAAACGAACACATGTCAGCCATGCTGCTTTCAAATATACTTATACATACAAACTTATAGCTAACCTGCCCAAGGTAATATTAAAAATATATCTGGAGCAAAAAAATAATAATAAATCAAACACAGTCTGCAAAATCTAGACTGTTTCTCTAAGCTTAGAGATAAGGTTTCAAAGGAGCAGCAGTGAGAACGAACTCAGCGATCAAACAATTAACTTGAATTAAAATGTTTATTTTACTGGACTCTGTGCAAAATCATGAATTTCTGCATATTCTTTATATTTACCGTTATAGATTGTCATCTTATAACGTCTCTGCAGTTGGCAGCGCTCGTGGGGATCATTTGGTGTGGAAGAAGAATCATATGACATATG